GAACGCCTACCCGAAACGTTACTGGCCGTTGAGGAAACAGCTATCTGAAATTGGCCTGCATCTCATCACTTGGAGATACAAAACCCTGACACTCCTCTCAGGCAGACCTTCCGTTTTGGAGGCACTCTACACGCTGCATGATCACCAGATACCAGCTCCCGGAAACATCAAAGCCATGCTGTACCTCGAGATAACGATCAGCTCTGATTGCCCCCTGTGGGCTGTTTACCAACTGTAAGACGATGTCCAGAATATATTAATAAGCGCAATCTATAGCCGAAGCTGACATCTTAATGAATGAACCTCTTGATCAAATGAACGGAAGGTCATTTTAGTCGCCGAAGCATCCCTGATATCGAAGAGTTAGCACAATGTTTGAAGTTCGAACTTATGAGCCAATTAGCATACTGAAAAATACAAATTCATAATTCTAGGTTCGAGAAACAGGAAAGAACAGCAGCTTGTGAAATGATGTTGACTACTGACAAGGCAGCGTTCACAACTGCTCCGTCAGAGCATAAACATCAATGGCGATATGTCATTTTTGTTCACGACGTTTATTTGAATTGCAAATCTGTGCCGTAGGTGGATCCGCTGCAAACTGACTTTTGGTCAGTTGAAACGTTATATTCTGTTTGCATCAATACCGTCAACAAATTCGAGATGCTGCCAGTCAACTAGTATTATGCAGTTTAACTAGTGATTAACTAATGCCACTAATATTGTACTTGCCATTACTATACTCAATATTATCATCACTGCTACTGTTGCGAACGACATAATGCAAAATGCGGTATTCATCAAAAGTGTTCATATACTAAAATACCGTTGCCCACCCAAATGGTCTTAGGAGCATTCGAGGGGCACCACTGGTATAAAGTGCAACTTTGGAAGTGTTATGCACTTATTAGTTTGAACGATGAAATAGGTATGGTACTTGAATCAACTGTGGATTTTGCAACGGACGGTTAAAACTGAGATGATGCTGTTCATTTGCCACGCACACCTACTCAAAACATATGGAAGTACAGAACTTCTCCTACCCAGATTAACAGCTGCTGCTTCTTCGCTTATTGACTTCATGTCTTCATACACGTCCAGAATGCACACGATTGTCAGTCGATCGTTTGGTAAGAACTGGTGCCGTAGACTGATCAGTTGGTCACGACGAACCAACCTCGACACTGTGATAATTCCACGCCGTCTAATCGTTACGTTGTTGTTGCTGAAGTCGAAACTCTGCAGATCGTCCAGGGTCTGTATTTCCAAGTTCACTTTGAGGGTGATCGACTGGGACGGACAATCAAGTATATGCAGGAACATTGAGCAGTACTCCTTCACCGTTTCGTCTTTACCGTTGGGAAAAAACTGCAGAAGGAACTTGTACCTGAAAAGTGGATTTGTCCTGTGATGAAAGTCGACGCGTGCTTCTGCTGTACCGTTCGCCATCAAGTCCAAACGTGTTGCTTGAAAGAGATCGGCCGCTTTCATAGCGCTTCACAACAACTGAAAAATTTCGTATTTCAAATCGGTGACTAAATCTGATCTTTTCACAGTCGACCATTGTTTCCGATACATGCCCTTCGTAGGGCATTTCGTTTTTGGAGCTCTCTGTTGAACTTTCTGAAAACAATTTCACCATTTTTCACTAAAGGGCAGCGCCATGGTCTACTCACCGTTTGGAACCATGACTTTTGTCTTCTCTGCGGCAGTTCAATCCAGCTTTCCTTAAGGACTGCCTTTATGTTCGCTGTAAACTTCATTTACAATAATTAAGCACAATTTCGTGAAATTAACGCGTCTGACAAACTATATTTTGAACAAAAGAACTAAGAACGATTTTGCAGTAGATGCATAGGGTAGAATCCTATGGATCCACAGGCAGATGCTCCCATATAATTTCAACCAATCCTTATTTTTGCGAATACACATATTGGGAGCGTAAGAGTGGCATGCAACGATGCAGTGTAGTGTAGCCTCTTCTAATCAGCTAGTACTGTAGTTAACAAAAGAAGATGAGAAAAATGTAGTTCAAGATATCAATTTCTAGCATAATTCTTTTCATTGAGGTAATTTTTCATCACTGACTTCAGTTTCGATATTATCAGCTACAAGGGCTTTATTCTGAAGGCGATGTTTGCAGCCATGTGGAAAACATTGCTCCAGGCTTATCGCCACCTGTTTCCTGTTTCCCAAGGTGGTACTCATTTGCATACTTTAGACAGATTGATCGCTGGTGTATGAGTTACTCAAGGTCAGTCCACTGTGAATCTAAAGTTCGGTCGACTGAGAAACTCCTGTTCATTCAGCAAACCTCTTCAGGAAATGCAAAGAAAAGAAGGTCAGCAGCAGATGCATCGGTAACAGCAAATCGACAGAAAACAAGATTATCTAAAATTTGGTTACTCAATTGTACATCTACAGAACGATAGAAGGATGGAAAACGAAGAAAAACTGGAGGTAAAGAACAAACCAGTCAGCACTGCAGAGATCGTTGATCCTTATGCAGAAGAATCGCTTAATTCTGGAGAAGAATACGAGATAGTGACACTGACCACAACAGAGAAGCTAACAGGGTTAAGAAAATACAAAATAATGCAAATGGAATCTCTGAACAGGCACAACCACCGATGAGAATGTGCGCAAGGCGCTTAGAAAGCTGAGAAACTGGGCAACACCAGACCTAGATCAGGTGCTTGAGTTGCGGCTTACAGGGATAACCTGTTTGCCCTTATGAACAGCAGTGTTCTTGCAGAAACTGCTTGAAGAATAGTCACGTGCTTCGCAACATCTAATTTTGAAGGACCAGAGCAAAGGTCATGGCGATGTGACTAACCACAGGATGATTACGTACCTTCCAACGAATTGGAAATTCTTGACGTCCACATGAACCAGTGCAATTTGCAAATATCTCAAAGCGAACAAAAATGGGTACCAAACAAAGTCAAAGGGAACGCAATTACAGGCCACTAGTGGACACGTGTTAACATGGTCATGTCCTGAACAGACGTTAGGAGGCATTTCATCAATCACCACATAGTTTGTTCCTGCAATGCCTGAAACTTTGCAACTTCAACGACAGCCTAATGAAGTTCTTCGAAACAGCGATGTAGCAGTGACGAACAACACTGCTATTAGCAAGGTCGGGCTGAGATCAGCGAAAGTCAAGTGAGAAATCATCCAGAAAGATTCAAGCTCGCGGTTTCCATTTTGTCTCCAGTTGAATCTTGTCCATTACTTGCTGAATAACATCACAGACGGCAATGTATTATCGTGCCTGACGCACAAGCACGATTTGAAATTGTTTGCGAGGTTAGAATTGAATAATCAGTTCCAAAGCGCATGAATCATTTTGGAAGATACAAGGGTGGAACTCAGTCCGCATAAATATGTCATGATCGAGATTAAGAAAAGGGAAGAATACAAAAAATATGCTGGAATTAGAGATGCCGAACCGCTGGATGTCAGCCGAACGTCAGCCGAACACGCTGGAATACAGTGAGCATATGAACATACCGGAATTTCCCAATACGATCTGAAACGAAAATATCGGTTTATCGTCGTGATATCGTATACAAGGCGAAAAGGCGGGTGCAAATCAACGATATAGCATGCCCGATGACGAAAGCGTTGTTGTAATGGGGCGAGGAAAAAATACTGAAATGCCAAGAGTTTATTATGGAAACACAAAAGATATATCATTGCCCTGGTGCAATGAAAAGAGACAATTAACATCCTCAAACTGATGAAGCTATCAAGGTGAATAAAGTACAAAATGTGACACCGCTAGTAAAAGCCAGCATTTTAAGATGAGTACCTAAGCTGCCTATCCGTTGGTAGATGGCTCGAGCTGAAGTGATGTTTATCCCACTCATGGTATACTTCATGGAGTGTGACTGACGCAAAGGGAACATCTGAAACTGGAGAACTGCAGAAACCTACTGCATCTATTCTTCACATATAGATAATTACTCTGGCATTAGCTGTGAATCATCGAAATGGCGAATGGCTTACTTAACTGCAGATCGATCATAGCACAAGATGGCGCATCTCAGAAAAAGTGTCCCCACAAATGGTGTTAATTGTTTTATTCCTCCTTCTATCACAGATCCTGTTGTTTTAGGAATTTTAAATATCTCTTGCAAAGAAGGCGTCACAGCAGTACAATTCTCGATCTCGGAAGGTAATTGAGGATTGAGGGCCAGTATTATCGTTAGCGGGACATTTATTCAATTGATTTTGGGATTTTCCAGTAGTAAAATTATTTCTACAAAAGGGGAGAATTACTTTGTCTATTCATTCTCTTCTTGCTACGTCGTCTTAAAACTTATATGCATTAAATTTAGAATCTCGAGAAGTTCAGCAAGGGTGAACAAGCAAGTTTATTTGCTTAAGATGCATACCTCTGTTTCAGACCGTTCATCTTACAAAGTTTAATAACGTCACAGATATACACCTGACTTGTAGTTTATTTGACTCAATGAGCATCTGTCACTTTCCATCTTGTTTAAAGAGCTTTGTTGTGTTAATTGCGGCCTTTTGATATGATGGCAGCCTTATGGATTTTAAAAAATGCTCGATTCAGCGACGGTGTTTCAAGGCCGTAAATTTGTCCAATAATGCTTAGACCTTGAGTATTTCACCGAAGTTGAATCGTTGCAGCGCTATTCAGTACATTTTGGCAAGAAACTATGTAACGGAAAATTTCAAGCAGTTACTAGGTCGCTCTCCTTTGGGCTTTCATGGCTAGTGCCATTTATAGCACCTTTTACTACGGAGATTGTTATGGTGCACTCCCGGCCATTTTTAAGTCACCAATCGGATCAATTTAATGGCAATGTTTATAGTTATATGGGGCGTATAATATAGAGCCTGATGTTCCTTTTCACAAGTAGGTGCTTGTTTATCTACCTCTGAAGGGAAAAATGTGAGTGATTCGACCGATGCTTGAACTCATTATCGTTAGACTGGGAATCCGACGTTCTCTAAACAATCAGCAGCTATCGTTAAACATCGCGGCAGACTTCTGAATTCACACCCCTTTACAATCAGATGGCAGATACGGAGTCTGATGTTCAACTGAAAACGATGGGGTTTGGGTAGTGTATGATATTACTATTCCACTTACCGATGGACCTGAAAGCTGAAGCATTTTCAAGATCAGAGCTCTTTACGGATTATAAATTCCCCAATGTTTTACGGAAATAATTCGCCATGATAATACGCCATAATAAATATGAAATAATACGCCATAATAAATTATACGCCATGAAAAACACAAAGAATGGAACAGGCGAACGAATCGATAATAGCTGAAACATCAACTTAAGATGTCGTTACAAACATATGATGCAGAAAATACATGTAGCTGAACCTGTCGTTACAAGAACAAACAATCGATGGATTGAAGAGAGACTGAATTGCCAGCCCATCAAAAAAAACAGACGACACTGAGATTATTGGCTGAAAACGTTTCCAGCGATTGAACTTCTGCCAGGGCAGTGATCAAAGACAATATTTCAAGTGACTCGATAAACAGATGAAAGGAAATTATCGTTCTCTCTTTAGTATATATATACGTCGCAAATTTACCATAGTCTCTAGTTCGCTTTTCTGTCGATTGCAGTTCAAATCTCATTTTTAGCAGTTAAATGTGAAAGGACCTTTTCAATCGATCCTCTCAACTGCTTCTGAGTATTTTTTATAGAGGTTCCCTAAGTACACTCATAAACAATTATATGCTCAGTGGAGCGAATTAATTTAAACATCAGACAATATTAATCTGGGTACTCTTTTGTTAACCATGATACTCCAGATAACGACGACGACAACAACATAAACTGCTTTCCTTGACAGTGATAACGTAGATCATCAAAATGCAAGATCAGTACTCACTAGTTGATGCCAAAGAGATTTCACGAAGAAGGCCAGGACAGTGGACTTCTTGCGATTAAGGCCAGATCATCCAAATGAGCAATTCGACAGCGCATCACATGCAGTAACACAAGTGTACACTCAGTTGTAATGGTAAGAGACTGATATGCAAAATAGAAAAACTGTTTCCTCCGAGAAAATGACCTGATTTCATCCTGAGATGCACGTTACTCTGGCATTTTCACAAGGACATGATTAACTTAGTATGACGAGTCGTTGGGCACTCCAGTCGTACACCAGTATTTAACATGACCTGAAATCGGTTTACCAACAGTAATCGTACGGTAGCCGGAAAACGATTTTACTTTTTCAAAGTTAACCACAAACAACTGCATAAATGAAGCATAACTGTTCAGCCGAATTTCGCAAGTTATTTCAGACAGTCTTTACTTTAGTATGTGGCTTTGCTTTTAGGAGTGGCATTAACGATTTCCACCATCGACATCCTTCTGTTCAACGGTAGCAGTTGCTAAACAATCTAATTTTTTCATTACGCAGTAATACTTTCGCAAGCAAAGGGTGCTGCTTCCCAGAGAAGTTTGAAATCAGTCAATGAA